ACAATTAGAATATGTGACAAAACATTATTTTTGCCTTGAATTTTTATCAAAGTTCAACTTAATATGATTCTCCATGATAAAAAATACCTCTGTCATGAACATGTCTATCAAATACCATTTGATTATTTTTTATATTTGATGATTTTTAACAAAATAATTACTCATAGAATTCGTCGCTGTAACTAAACGTAAGGAATAAAGATTTTGCTATTTTAAATTGTACAATAACTTTATAGTATAAAGGTGACTCTATATCTTCAAGATTATGTAACATGAAGTTTGTTCTATAATATAAATACTTTATATATATATAATATAAGTGATTCTAGATTTGTAAGGCTATAAAGCTGATTCTAAATCATCAAAATTACATGATATAAAATTAATTTTATGCTTAAAAGTTATATATATATATAAAGGTGCCATTTCTATATTTTCTCGTATACTATCAGTATCAGTATCATGAACTGATGGTGTTCTCCTGTGAGACAGCGGTAAGTCTGAAGACTTGCGATGCTAAAATCCAGGGTTTGATTCTGCACGATGGACACAGCAGATAGCCCAATCTAACTTTGCTCTACAAAAACAAATACTCATGGAACATAGAAATATCCCTATTTCAAAGCTTCGTAACTAGGGTAATGACATCTTAACTTAAAAGCTTAAACTGCATTTAATAATATGTATAAAAATAAATATGGAAGTGTTATTAATATTATTTTTATATCATAGGAATTTATACTACGTTAATGTTTAAAATTACATTTAATTTCAAAGACTAGAAACTAGTTAGATTTCATAATGATGGTAACATTAAGGTAAATAAAATATTAGGGACTGTACCTGAGGCTGAATCTCACCGGAAAATTAAGCATTCAGGAAAATTTTTGTATATTTTATTTTCTGACGTGATGTTTAGAAATTCGTGATAACAATAATTCCTTCAAGTTCCAATATCAATTAATTGTGGTTTGCGTACATTTTATCATGAAACTTAAGAAATTAAAACAACCTCAGAAATTTGTTCTTTTTTGGTCCATGTTTTCCAATATTCCGCCGATTTTTTTAGGCCTACCGGTTTTTCAAATACCCTGCCGAATTTGACGTTCAAAGCGTTACCTCAGAAAATGTTCAAGTCCCGGATGTAAATCAAAGTAATTATCAAACTTTATGAAATATGTAAAAATATAAGTGAATTTCTAATATTACTACCATATCTCTGATACCGGTCTGATAATCGATTAAGTTATAAAACAAAAAAGGATAGAAATAACACACTCAGACAAACATGGATCCTTACGTAACATACCTTTCAAAGTTTGGTATAATTTTAATAGTAATATAACGTTGAATATATAAACAAATAAATAAGGTTGGACACAAGGGACCGTTATCACGTGCTTGATTGACGTACGTTGATTAGCAACCTTCTGAAACGTGTGAAGTTGTAGTGATATTTCTTCGTGCTGGGAGCTAAGCCAGGAGTAAAACATATTTGCATTTTAATTGGTTTTCCTTCGTAGAGTGAATAGTATTTCTCGAATACCTAGAGTAATAATAAGGTATTAGCGTCAGATTTCATAGATTGGCATATGTTCAGTTGGTCCTGATTCTCACGTGTTCGGCAATGTGTCAACTTGACCCTCGTTTCAAGGGAGGCCGCTTAGGGGAGGAGGCCTAATACAATTTCCTGCTACAAACACTGAAGCTGAAATTCGCGCGCTGTCGTTTTAATAAAAGAAAATCGACTAGAACTTATAGAAGGGGATTTTGCAAAAGGCTTTAAAAAGAACAACAAATGTTCCGGGTTATACTTTAATGGATTTAACATAAACAGACACGCCAGATAAAAGTTTCCGTGGTGTGGTGCTGTTAAGAGGCTACAGCCAAGAGTTCTATTATACACTCCAGAAATCTGGTCGTGTCTAGTGTTTCATCGTACAACGTCAAGAAACTAAAGTGAAGAAAATAACAAGCACTTCAAGTTAATTTTTTATCAATTCAGGCAAGAACTAATGATTCGTGTTGCATTATCATCGTTTGAAAGTAAACAGTTGTATTTATATTCTCTGTATACTATCTCTTTAAATTTAATTATGGTATAATCATTTTACTACCATTCACATTGTTGATAGGCTTAATATTAACGGAAACATTGAGTTGCAGGTCTAACACTGTGGGTATTACTATTGTTTTAACGTCGTTCTTTCGCTGTGCGGATTCTTTTAAATCATTTGGTGAAAATAAAGCCAAGTCCAGCCCACGCGGGGATGATAAATTAGGTTAAATTTTCCATAACGTTTCTACAAGCTGCCTTCACTTCTACACTATTTTAATTTGAAGGCCTATGTTTATGATTGATACTACGACTAACTTAAATATAAAGTCATCTTATACACATTAGTTAACACCTAAATTAAAGCATCGAAAATATAGCTTACAACACTTGCAGTTACTCATAATACCATCTGACGTCATGTAAGTTTAATAACTTATTTAAATCTGATGTAAACTAAAAATTTCATAAAGCCATGTGATATTTGTAAATAAATCCCTGTTCTTTGGAAATATCAGTTGCGGGATAAATATACCTTTGATTTAGCCGCATTCATTACCTAAGGTCGATATTAGATTGCGTACGACAAATAGAGGTTCGTGTGTATGAAGAATGCATAAGTATTGGCGAAATAACACTTAGGCTATGCTTTGTTGTTGTTTTTTAGAGCAAGGCCTGATTGGGCTATCTGCTGAGTCCACCGCAGGGGATCAAACCCCGGAGTTTAGAGTTCGTAAACTTACCGCGGGCCCTTAAGCTATGCAGTAACTTAGCTTTAATGCGTTAGGTTTGCTACTTTTTAGCTATAATCATGTATATCTTGGTGATAAATAAATCGGTCGCCACTTGTCGTACGCGATCTAACATCAACCTTAATGATAATGGATAAAAGAGGGTCCCTTGAGGCGCTATAAGGTTTATTTAATTTACTTAGGAAAATAAATATTGCGAAACGTAAATGTAAAAAAAAATATTATTCATTAAAATATATATACAGAGACATGCGTTTATAGGATTCATTTAACCTGGTTTGTATTTGAATTTTAAATAATAAATAACGGTAAATCATAATTTTCACTTAAAAATCATAGCATAAATTATGATTAAAAATAAAATGTACCAAAAAACGTCAAATACTTCAGAATATATATCTTTTTTAAGTTAAGCACAAAGCTATATAATGGGTTGTCTGTGCTCTACCCACCACGGGTATCGAAACCCGTTTTGTAGCGTTGTTAAGTCCGCAGACATGCCGCCGTGCCACTGAAGGATAAACAATAAATGACAGTAATAAACTAGAACAGAAATAAATAAACAAAGAGACCGAGATAAGCAGCATAACACCACCTATCGTTCAGTAGTTGCACGATGGTGTCAAGTTTTACCATTTATACCTTAGTGTAATTTATCGAATTCACTAGAGTAACATTCAGTTGTTCCGATACGTTACTGAAAGCATCACCTTAATAACTTTTACTATTTATAATAACCAGTGAGTGACGTGTGTTTCTACTATTAAAGTAACCCTGAATTGTAAAGAAGTGATAGAATGTTAACAGCACTGAATTATGTTATCAGAAAAACAAAAAACTTTCGAGTTAACAGTATAAAAAAACGAATGTTTGTCGTCAGCATCTTTGAATAACGAATACATTATAATAAGTACAAAATAATTATTTCCCATTACCTGTCCAATATACAAAAAAAAAGGTGTCTTATAAATTCAACTCTCCAATG